ATGTACACATACCGTTCACACACACACACACACACACACACACACACACGGTGGTTATGATTAGAATGTTTAAACAGCATCTAATCAGATGCTTCTGTGTCATGGGTCCTGACAGTGAGCCCTGATCCGAAAGAATGAGAGCTGATGCTGGGAGGAGGGTGTGGCTCAGAAGAGGGAGGCGGGGATCGGAGAGAGATGAGAAGGAAGAGGGAGGGAGGCAGGGCCGAGGGCTGGAGGGCGCCGCTGTCCTGCGCGAGCTGCTCCATGCTACTTCTTCAGCAGCTGGCGAGCACGCGTGACCTTTGGTATCGGAAGCAGTCTGGCTGGAGGCTGGGAAAGACCAGCATTTCTGTTTAATAAATTGAACTTCTACAGCGCACATTCCACTGATGCTCTATGAGCCACACTCATGTCCTGTTTCCCTCCCTCCGCCTCCTCCTCTCATCTTTCCTAAAAGACGGATGAACTCATTAGTGATAGAAAATGATAATCCGTTGGGCCGCGCCCCCTCCACAGCCCTGCTCAGGGGAACCCCGACAGTCAGCACAACCCTCGGTACCGGCGGAGACAGCGTCGGTGCCCCAGGTCTGGGACTCCTGCGTGTCCACGTGCTGTGTCGCGGCGGCATGGGCTGAGCGGGATAACCGGCCTGTCACAGTAATGCGGCGCCAAGAGGGACTTGGGGGGCCTCTCGTGCTCGCTGACCTCTGTGCCGGCGGCATCACAGGCTTTCTCCACGATCCCACTCCCCGCGCAGTGCTCAGAGCCCTTTAATGGAGTCCCTGCGGGTGAGGCAGGGGTGAGGCGGTCGTTCATACAGAGTCCCTGCGGGTGAGGAGGGGTGACGTGTGGTGTGTGGGTGACGTATGGGTAACAGGGTTGGGCGGCTCCAGCCGATCTGGAGGGTGGGGCGGTGCGTGCATCCTTCCTCACTGCACCTCAGTCATAACCCTCACTCCATCCAGGACATGCTGGGCTGGGCACCGTACTCAAGTACTTCCTGTTGTCTTGTGCCCAGGACCTTTGCACCTACTGTCCCTTCTGCCCAGAGTGTCTGATTTTACTCACCTGTCAGCCCCCAACTGAAATGTCTCCTGTTCTGGGATGTGTCTCCTGACCCTGCAGGTAGCGTGGGCCCCGCCATGGACCCCCATGGACCCTAGGAAGCTCCCCGTTGCTCCAGACTTGTTCATGCCTTTCCGCGTCTGGCCCATCTGGAGGGATTTGAGCTGCACCGGGACAGGAGCCGCTGCTGGCTCAGTCCCCACTTCATCTCTGTGGTGTTTGGCACATACAGGTGCTCAGTCAGTGTTGAATGTCTATGTGGGTGAATGAATGGATGAATGAATGAACGAATGAATGAACAAATTAGCATGTAAATGGATTCTCCTCCTATGTGTTCCCCAAGAATGATTGTCATCAAAGACGGTGATTTTTTTCATTAAAATATATAAGGAACTTTCTTTCCGGCCAGGAAATGTTAACCCCAGAGCAGGGAAGTCCTGGCCAGCAATATTTTGAGAGCAGCTAAGAGAAGTCAGTGATCGGCGTTGACTGGGGTGGGAATTGGGGGAAACAGGTAAAATGGAGAGCTCTATTTTTATTGGAATTCTCCCTTGCCCATGTCTTGCATGTTGCAAACTACGGGTAGTTCCAGTTCGGTGCTAACTTGTTCGGCTTGGACGGTGAGGCCTCATGCCCTCTGGGCAGCATCGCTCCGTTCCTAAGGGAGTGGTGATGGGCGTTGGCCTCAGTAGGGAGCTGCCTGTGAACACATCTCTAGCAGGAGCCATGCTTTAACCTTTAACCGGCACTCAGTTCCTGACAGATGGCGTAAGCACGTGCCCATGGCGCAGGCCCGTCCATGGCCGAGAGCACCTTTTCTGGGCTGTTCTGTCGTCTGTACCTGGGAGGGGCTGAAGCAAGGACCTGTGACCCTGCCTGCCCCACACAGCCTGTTATTCAGCCTGTCACTCGTTGTGGCAGTTGCAAGTGGAGCACCTTCCACCCCTTGACTCCCACAGGCAGGAGCAGCAGTGTCCTCTGGTGCCTGATCACGTGAAGGATCGGCGGGAGGGAGGAGAGGGGTGCAGACTCAGGGCTCGTGGCATCAAATCCGCTCACATACCCACCGCAGAGGAGGAGGCTCCTCCCGGTGCCTGGGCACCTTCCCTCTGGCTGTCGCTGTGCTGGAGTCTGGTCAGGTGGTTTCGGGCGCTTCCAGACAGCCCACGTTTGCTGCCCGGACTGAGCAATGGAATGGGCATTTCAGAGCCCGGCCGAGGGCGTGGCCAGCGCGTGGCTCACCGTGGCTGCCCCGCGCTCAGCGGTCAGCTCCCACACACGCACCTCAGCCCACTATGGTCCCTTAAAAGCAGGGTGGTACTTGTGCCCCACAGTTTTCCTTGCCACCGATAAAAACTCATCACGTGGTCACATTGTTTTGAATTTTATCCATTAGAAATTCTCGTGAATTAGTAAAAATTTCTTTTGCAACGTGCAGACGCCTCCTTGAAATCACCAGCCGCTCACAGCTATCATTTAATCCAGGGGTGGGCAAACTTTTTGACTCGAGGGCCACACTGGGTTCTTAAACTGGACCGGAGGGCCGGAACAAAAGCATGGATGGAGTGTTTGTGTGAACTAATATAAATTCAAAGTAAACATCATTACATAAAAGGGTACGGTCTTTTTTATTTTTTAGTTTTATTCATTTCAAACAGGCCGGATCCGGCCCGCGGGCCATAGTTTGCCCACGGCTGATTTAATCGCACATGGCTGCTTTCTTTTAACGCCTTGATGAGATCGGGCTTTTCCTAAGGGAGCTTGGGCATTTGATTGGACAAAGCAGGACCCTTGGGGGAACTGCACTGGGTGGGGGGCAGCAGCTGTGAGGCACCCCTGGGAAAATCGCTGGTGAGGCCCTCAGCCCGGAGGAGAGGACGCAGGACAGATGGACGCAAGGGGAGACACATGGTACTTCTTGAACACTTCGCTGTGAGCCGGTGCAGCACGGGCCTGGCTGGGTGAATCCCTATGGAGGAGATGGCCCCCAGGAACTGGGACCCACAGTAAGGGCAGCTGCATGTAGACTGAGGCCACGGGGCCTCCGAGAGAGCCTTCCCCCCACAGGTGAGTGAGCCCTCTCCGGCCGAGCAGCTGTCATCTGCAGGTGTTAACAGTGCACTTCCCACTGCAAAGCACTGACTGTCCAGCGCAGAGCAAGGTGGCCGCTCTGCCCTGGGACACGCCGTGCCGTCTGGAGAAGCAATGGAATGAGGCTTTGTAAAGATGCTGCTCCAACGCCCACAGTGCTGCTCCAGCCTTCCTCCTGCTGGCAAATTACATTCCTTTATCCACGTGGTGGGACGCCAGGAATGACTTCAGGGAACAGCCCCGAGAGCGGGCTTACTCTGTGACAGGAGTTCTGAAGACAGTGTCATTTGGCACTTCTCCATTTTCTATGATTTTGCACAGAGAAGACGGAAGACTGTGATAAGTATTTCCCACAAATGGCTCTGAAGTGAAACCCACCTGGTGGCGAGTCGTCTGCTGTGTGTGTGGAGGCTGGAGCCCAGGTTTCCTATGAGAAACAACCTGGAGAGTCGCTGGTTTAACGAGTTTCTAACACTTTTTCCCTCGTTGCGGTGATGAGTCTGGGTCACCTGTCTGTGTCTGGTGACGGGGCGATGCAGGCTGCTGGCATGTCAGTGCCCCGCGGAGGGGGCAGTGTGTCGGGACAGCGGAGATGGGGCTGATGCGAAGTGCCGTAGTTGCGCTGTAAGAAGTGAACAGTGCGCAAAGCTCATCGAAGGCAAAGCTGTTAGGTGGGTGCAGTCTGGGAGGCAGCGAGGGGGCTGACAGCTCCAGGAGCAGCCACTGGTTCTGAACTGGCTGTGCCGCTTCTGGCCGGACCACCCTGGGCAGATGGCGTGGCCTCTTAGAACCTGGGCAGCTGGGGCCTGTGTCCTTCCCCCGGGAACCTGCGCGGCCCCCCAGCTGCCAGGCACCCCCTCCCTGCACAGCACCTGTGTCATTTTCTCAGTTCAGTTCAACCTCCTTGAGGTGAGCATGGCCATGTACTGATTGGAGGGCTCCATGTACCCATCAGAGCCCTAAGTCGTACTCGGTTTTGTAATATTTTTAAACCATAGTATGGATGCCTGGCGTCTGGTGGGGTGATGGGGCCTTGATGTGCACATGCTGCCGTGTGCCCCCAGCCCCAGGATGGCCCTGCACCTGTGGCGGGAGCACAGTCCCTACGAATAGCGGGGGTGGGGATGGGGGTGGGGGTGGGGAGGGCAAAAGAGCCCAAACTGCCCCCTTCTGTTGAATCTGTTACAAAAATGCTTTTGAACCGACTGAAATAGTGTCGGGTCTGAAACACGGCCCTGCATCTCCAGTCCTGGCTGCACGGCCACACGCTCTCTATTCGTTACGGGTGAAACAGTTCACACTGTCTCGAGTTCCCCTACATGCAGGACGCATGGCACACACAGCCTCTGTGCCCCAGGGGTGGGGGGCGGTAAAATCAACACCCCGGGGCCTGCAAGAGAGGTGGGTGGCGAGGAGCGCTAGCCTGGCACGCGAGGGCTTCCAGTAAAATGAGGGTGTGGGGCGTCCAGATGGGGAGCCTGGAGGCTTCCATTCATTCGCTGAACAGATACCTACAAGGCCCCGCTGGTCCACGCTCCCGGGTGCTGGGCTTCAGAGAGCGTGGAGGGTGAGGGGCGTGTGGTGCTCATTGGGGAGGCGCCCAGCACAGGCCTTTCGGTCTGAATGCACAGCATCCTGGGGGCAGGAGGCCGCCCTGCGCCTGTGCCCTCGGGTCGCTCATTTCCTCTGGGGGCTCCTGAGCAGCCACGGGCCAGCGTGGCTCCCGCTTGCCTGGCTACGGCTCACGTGGCTCTGGCTTGAGTGGCTCCGCTCATGTGGGCTCCTGTGCGATGCTGGCCTCAGAGGAGGGAGCCTCTGACCGTGTGCCCTGTGGTTTCTTCCAGGATCTTCTTCCCGGGCTGCCACCCCGTCAGAGGCGTGCAGGTAATGAAAGTCGGCAAATTGCAGTTGCATCAAGGCATGTTCCCGCAGGCGATGAGGAACCTGAGGCTGGTGAGTGCCCGTCGCGCGTCCTCTGCCCGGATGCCCTTTGCTGGCTGCGGCCGGGCCGTGTGAATTTCAGCAGCTCTCCATCCATGTGTCTGCATGCACACCTCACATGTGCACACACTCACATGCACACACTCACATGCACACACACGTGCCCATACATGTCTGGCAGCCAGCTCTGAAAACAGGTATTTGTGATGTTTGCTGGTGGCTGTGCTATAAACATGCCCGTTATGGTTGAGTTTCAGCTGCTGATGTAAAATCAACCAGCTCCCACTTTCAGCTGCACACCTCAGCACCAGTGTCCGATCAGAAAGGCCTAATTAAATCACACTTCCTCTCTTTCTGCCACCTTTTCTAGTCAAACTGGGTGTAGTAGAAGGGACACCGGTGTTTGACTCACTGATAGATTTATTAGTGGCTGTAGGCGGGGAACAATAGCTGGGAAATACCCGAGAAGATTGGAAAATTTGGATGTGGTGGAAGGATCATTGAATTTTAGGTTTTGTCTTGTGGTGTTAAGTTCAAAGACCATAATAAACCGCTGCCTGTCAGGCCAGCCCTTGACCGTCCGTCTGTCTGCAGTCCCCTCTGCAGCCTCCCCCTCCAGGCCTCCCTGTCTGCACAGCCAGTGTACGCTGGGCCGCTTGGCGCTACCACACCCTGAACCGCCCACACGAAGTCTTGGCGAAGCTACTTCCTCTGCCTTAAGTGACTGTGCCCGCACCCCACTCCAGGCCAGGCCGAGCGCTGCTGTTCCTTTAAGGCCCAGCTCCAATGTTGCCTTCTCTCTGTGGTCCTACCACTCAGTTCATGATACCTGTAGAGTGCGTGTCCCATGGGAGCGGGGGCACCTGATGCCCACAGCCCCCAGGACGCTGAGGTCCTTGCGGGCATCATTGTCACCAGCTCCATGCCATGCAAGGTGCCTGGAGTCCAGGCAGTGGTCTTTGTTGTTGGAGGAGGGAGGGAGGGAGTTCGGTCAATGCAGTGCTAACAAGTGCCCAGAAACTACATGGGAGCTGGGTCAGTGTTGGCACACGTTGTTAGAGTGACATTTGTTCGTCGCCTCCCAGTGAACCTCCCTTGCCCCAGGCCCAGGCCTCCGCTGCACTGGCCTTCCCACCCAGGCCGCTGGGCTGGCCTTCCCACCCAGGCACAGTCCCTCCCACCCAGGCACAGCCCCTCCTACCCAGGCACAGCCCCTCCCACCCAGGCGGAGCCCCTCCCACCCAAACCACGGCCCCCACGGGAGAGCCCACCTGCCCATCCGGCTGGGCTGGCTTGTCCTGCAGCGACCTGCTGGTCTGGGTTGACAGGGAGCACTGGGCCCTCGCGTGGGGTCTTCGGGGCCACTGGGCCCTTGTCTGCAGGGAGTGGTCCGGCTCTGCATTAACCTCTCAGGGGTGTCCAGGTGGTAGGCCGGTCCCATAACGGGGCAGTTACCACATTTAGATGAGAAAAATGACACCCCAGGGATTCTCAAACATGAGATGCCCCAGCGCCTGTTGCTGCTGCCTGCCTGATCCTGAGTGGTCAGCCGTGATCAGCAGGAGGCACACGGGTTCTGAAGGCACATGCTCCTGTGTCCTTTAAACCGCCTGCCCTCCTTGCCCCGACCGGGGCCCACCTCGCTCTCTCGCCGTCTCCGGGAAAACCTCCCTTCTGGTCTGGCAGACACTTACCGGCCAGTCAGCTCAAACAGAAACACTTCTGCAGGGTCTATTTTGTCAAGTTTTGACAGAAAAATAATGTGGAGATTTCCCAAGCGTGGGGCGTGTCCAGCCCAGCACGTGGTGTTTGTAGGTGGTCACAGCCCCTTCACGTTCCCAGGGACGGGAAGTGCCCTGCGGCTCAGACACGCGCGATCGGCCCGGCCCCGTGACCGCTGGCGCGGGGAGGTCAGCAGCCAGGCAGCGTCCCTCCCGCTGGGAATGAGGAGCTGCGGCTAAAGTCGGTCGGAGGCAGAGCTGGTCTAGTTTGTTCCATTTGATGCAACTTGTGTTAATTAAATGCTCCTGTTAATCGAATAAGACCAGTGTTGTCAGACAGGTGAGCCAGTCAGTGACTCCAGGCGGGAACCCAGGCTTCCGCGCTAGACTCACCCAGGGAGACGGGGGTCTGTGGTGGGGCTCGGCGTGCGGGTCCCCTCGGGCTCCTGAGCTCCCGATAGAGGCCTCCGACGGTATTCGCATCTCTCCCCTCCTGTGAGGCTCCATCGCAGCCGTGTGTGCACAGCTGGTGCAGGAGGCACCCACCAGCCTCAGCGCAGATGGAACCTGGAGGAGCCCTGACCGATGTCCAGAGGCTCACTGGGGGGGAGGGGGGAGCACATGGGCCAGGGGGTGCTGGCATCCCAGCCCTCCCCGGCACTCTCACTGGCCTTCACCCCCTCGTGCCCAGTTCCGTCCTGTCCTCCTCGCGGCCTGGTGAGGCTGCCTCCTCCTCCAGGACATCCCTGGTGACCAGCTTGGCCGCTTCTGCTCCTGGCGCCAGAGATAAGCCCACATGCACCTGCTGGCTGCCCAGTGGGAGGTCTGGGGGCAGCAGCAGGGAGCCTGCCGGGAGGACGGGGTTGGCCTTACCCCAGACGTCCGTTTGCCTCTGAAAAGTCACTGATTATCAACCAGAAGGCAAACGCGCATCCCCGCGTGCTGCGTGGTGGAGAGAGCACTTGGTTTACTAGTTTGCTGACTTGGGGCAAGTCTTTTAATCCCTTTGAATATAATTCTTATTTGAAACATGAGAATAGCAGTCCTAGCCAGTTCAGCTCAGTGGATAGAGCGTCAGCCCACAGACTGAAGGGTCCCAGGTTCCATTGCGGTCGAGGGCACGTACCTCGGTTGCAAGCTCGATCCCAATGTGCGAGGTGTGTTTCTCCCCCCCCCCCCCATTCTCTCAAAAAAAAAAAAAAAAGAAAAAGAAAGAGAAAAAAAAA